AAAAAAACATTTGCTTAGATGATCAATGTGAAAATTGCTGCATGTTTAGTTTCTACACACAAAGCTGTTTATGGTTGTATTAGCAAAAAAAAAAAAGTAAGCAATAAGAAAATGATCTAACTAAACTTCACCCCTGATGGAAGGATTTCATGATGTTGGGTTTCTAAGACCAGGGTCAACTTTTGAGTTGTGGGCTCACCTTATGATTGACCTTTCTCCCTCACTGGATAAGAGGTGGCGAGCTCAAACCCTAACAAAATTCCAGATTCTCAGTACAGAGAGCAGTATGCTCAAATTTTGGGGCACAACTACTGCAGTTATTTCACCTAACACTAGATGGCGCCATGCTGGTCCGACACGCGAATGTATGTCGTAGGAAAACACAAATTACATTTCACTAGTTCCGCAAAGAGAAAACAGGCAATGCAGCGCAACATCTGACATCAACCAGCGAGCAACCGTGCGGCTAGCGTAACCCAAAATCAGGCTCATCTTCGCCCGTCTCAACGCGAGCAGCGGGACGACGCCTTGACACAAGATATGAGGAGAGGGTGAATGAGCTGACTGGTAGAAAGCTCACCTGTTTGTGCTGTGGTGGTGGTGATGATGGAGAACATCGAGGAGCTCTCGCCCCTTCGCATCACCCCTACAGTCCGTGCTCTGAGCTCCGCGCTGCGGGGGAAGCGTGAAGATGTCCACGGTTCCAGCCGTGTAAACGGTGACAGGGTATTCCCTGAACCGGAGAAGCTTTGGTTTAAGGAGAGCAGCGCTAAAAATCTACGAAACAGGGACTTCTTGTCGCCGACCACGATGCTTAACACGCTGTATGCGGACGGACAGGTTGGTTTGACTGATACCTGTTGGATATATTAGCCTCTGTGTGTGACTCCATGCTAATCTCAGAGTGTGCTGTTTTATGTTATTTCAACATAGTGCTAAATAGTATCTAAGCCGCTCAATGCGCTTTCTGAACACGCTTCTTAAATCTAGTCAAACCGGACGCTGTCACCAGACAGCGGGAATACCGCTGCTTAAACACATTGAAGTTCCGATAAACAGCTCTTCATTTTATCCTTCCGCTAAGCGGTGTAGTTCCTCGGCACTAGTGTGTTTATGTTAGTGCTAG